TTATATTCAGACCTGGTTGCTCTTTCTTACTTGCTTCTGTGTATGTTTCGTGGATATGTTTCCATAGTTCGTATGGGATACCGTCTATCCCGGTGGCGCTTCCCGATTTCGATGACATCAGCGCGTTTAGAATGTGCTCTTCTTGTAAGAGTTCGTTCAGTTGGCTTGTTTGTGCTTCGATTTTCTGATTTGCTGGTATCTCTTCTAGTGATACTTTTCTCGCATTTTGTCGAGCTTGGTCGTGGTGTTGGTGATTGTCGGCTGTTTGTAGTTTTTCATGGTATGTTTTTGCTATTTCTGCCATTTCTTCTGACTTTGTGGTGAAGTTGTTGGTTTCTGGTATGTGTAGTCGATATATAATGTCTCTTGGCTTTTTCTGACTGTTTATTTTTGACCAGTATTTGCTTATCTTTTCGCCTTGTGACGCCCATTGTGATTGTGCTTTTAGTTGGGCTTTTTTGTTTTTCTTCTTTTGTAAGTGTTCTATTTCTTTTTCGATGATAATGCGATTTATTCTAGTGTTTTCAGAGAAGTCTATGTCTTTTAGGTTCGTTGTCTTGCGTAGGTCTTTCGTTAATGCTCGTATTCGTTGGTTGACTCTTCCTAGGTGTATTTTCAACATTTCTTTTGCTAAGTCGGTTATTTCTTTTTTAAAAGTAATCCATAACTTTTGCGGGTTGGTGGTGCCGTCTCGTACGTTTATCTCTTCCATTTGTTGTTGCTTATTAATCCCTAGTTTTATAATTTGTTTAATTAGGCTTTCATCTTTCATTATTCCTATTGGCCATGACCATCTTCCTCTCCCTATGTGTGGTAGTCCGGGTGGTGCGAACCTTGTCAACACCATGTGGTGATCCGTCGGGATGTGGCTGATTTGTGAGTTCCAATCTGTCATGCTGTTTAAGTGGCGTGTTGAGGTGTAGATTCTGTCTAGGCGCGATAATGTATTGCGGTTACTACTGAATGTGAAGGTGCGTGTGTTTGGGTTTTCGAGGCGCCAGGTGTCTTGTAGGTTGAGCGTTGATCTTAGGTCTCTTAGAGCTTCGGTGGCTGATTCGTGATCGTGCCTTGCGGGGGCGCGGTCAATCGGTTCTTCGGTGATATTAAAATCACCCATCATGAAGTCAATGTCGCCCGCGTGTGCCGCTGTCCATTCTGAACTTATTTTCTCCCAGAAGCTTCGGTGTTCGTTCATGTTATTCGGTGCGTATATGTTTAGAATGTTGATTGTCTCATTTTTGTGCCATTTCACAGATAAGACTGCTGCTCGTCCTGGTACCAGGATTTTCATTTTGGCGTCTGCGGTATTTAATATTTCTTTATTTAGAACGAATGCAATTCCTGCAGAGTTTCCTGGTCTGGTTGGGTCGCTCGTGCTTAGGACTCGCAGGCGCCGGGAGAATAGATTGTCAATTTGATTTTTGTGGTCTGTAGTCAGGTGCGTCTCTTGAAGGCACAATATGCCAATCTTTTCGTCTCTCACAGTTTGATTTACATTTGTCCATTTAGATGTTTGGTTTTGCGCGAGATTTGTCGAGGTCCGTCCTTTCATATTGAGAGTGGCTATTTTGATGTTCGCTCTGGTTTTTTTGTGTTCGTTGGAGGTTGTGATGACTTGGCGCGTTGGTTGGTGTTGGTTGGGGTGTCTGATAGGTTCCTGTGTCTGGTTTCGGAGGGCGTGTGTGGCCATACTTTGTGTTGGTGGGTCCCTCATTTGAGGCTGGGGTTGATGTTGGGGTTGGGTGTGCCTTTGATTGGCATGTCCACTTCCGAAATCCCGAGAGCGGTCATCGGAGGGTCTCCCAGTGGTTCGAGGAGGTCCTCCTCCGCTACTTGGGATGCCTGCACCGTTACCGACAAAACGACCGTGATTTGGGGAGTTTATGTGAGTGTTTGGGGTGATCGTACTACTAAGACTACGTTACGATCATTATGTAGCCTTAGAATCGACATGTCTGGCCCATTAGCAGTGGACTATGTTAGCGTTTTCAATGATTATCAGTGCCCAGGACATTGGAATCATCTACTAGTGAAAACTTAAGCCTCTCGGCACGGCTTGTCCGAACCTAAATAGGTTTCCGTGGTCTGGTGTGCACCATGCTGTTTTGAGACGACTCCTGCTTTCCTGTCCCGCTTCCGCGACCAGTATATTTGGGCAAGGTGTCTTTAATTCGATGGTTTGTGTCTCATTCAAACCTGTCTTACGTTCGCAGCGGTTCTTTTGATCTTTCGGAGCCGGGCCTAAGACAGAACCGTTGTGGCGCTTATTATATGATGGGGGGGGGGGGGGGGGTTTGTACGGTTTAGAAAGGACTGAAATTGATGTACGTAGGGTGAGGTGTGTTTCTAGGCTATGTATGTGAGATGGGGACACGTATGGGCTGAGAGGGGGTTAGGTTTTAGTACATCTAGCTGTAGGTAGGAAGGAATGGAATTCGGCATAGAGTGTGATTGTACGAGGTATCAGACAGTGCGATTGAATCTCCCATTTCCGCCTCTGGTTTTCCCAGGTTGACGTTGTCCGTTCCCCGTGTTCCTATTGCCCACTCGGGGGCCGTTCCAGAGTGTGACGAGTGGGAATGGACATAATCCTCTTGGATGGGCTAGCGAGTGGCATATTTGGCATGCGGAGAGGGCTGTCGATGTCCCACAGCCATCGAGGCTGGTTGGGTAGTTAAGGGCGCTTAGGAAGCTGCGCAGGTTAGTCCAGGTCTTGGCGTCATTTGTTGGACTGGTGGCGAGGACGTTAAAGCGCGGTACGGACAGTCCCCCCGTTATCTTGAAGTCGAGGAGTTCGACACGAGCGGACTCGATGAAGTCGTGAGTAACCATGTAGGTGGGCACTCCCGCTGGGAGGCCGCAATGGGAGAAGAACCCTTCGATGCGGGTGTGGTTTTCTTCACAAGACCAAGTGTCGCGGACGGTCTGAAGGATGGTCTGGGTGTCTAAGGTCGTGTAGCCGGATAGACAGAACAAGAGTTCTGGGGGGTGGTTGCAGTTGAATGGGAGAGCTTCGAACGTGAGGTCCGTGTTGGACCAGATGCGTTGGCTTAGGATCAGGTTTTTGGTCTCTTCTGTTACTTTGTGGACCAGGAAGCCCGTTGGGAGGAGTTTCACTTCTCTACCGCCCTGGGGTTGTGGGGGGGAGACGCGTACCTGCGGGGGGTCTTGTTGGACGAACTCTGCGATGGTGGCAATGCTAGCGCGGATGCGCTCTGCGAGGATGGCAGCGCGTTCTGCGACGTCTTTTCCTGTGTGGTCGAACACCCTTACTAGGAATTTCGGGTGTTCAACTTGGAACCAGGCGAGGAGGACTCTGTTATCGAGGTGGTCAAATATCTGAGCTGAGTGGGACATATGTACTACTGGGAATCCCCCATTTGGAGTCGGCGTGAATTGGGGTAGGGTAGTGCGAGTATTCAGGCCGTTCTGGCTGAGAACAGACCTGTTCGCGTCAGCCAGAGCTAGATGATCTAGGATGGCTTGTTCCTCAGCGGTGGGTTCATGTCTGGCTTTGGGGCTTGGCGGGGCGCTCATTTGGTGATCACCTTTGGAGTTGTTCGGCGCATGAATTGAGTTAGCGAGGTCACTGCTCGGCGGTTTGTCATCGTCGACATGGGACGTTGTTACTTTAAAATCCTGGTATACGAGGAGGTCGGGTTGGAGTGGGTGCACATGGTTCCCCTGAGGTGTGGGGGTGGGTGTGTCAGGGGGGGAGTGTGGGCTTGGGGGGGAGGGTGGTGAGGGTGGGTCAGGTTTATACGGTATCATGTCCATAGCTTGTTCTAAGTCGACGTCTTCCTGTAGAGCTTCAGGAGGAAAGTATTTTGGTCCCGAGCGAGGGGGTTGTGGATTAGGACGAGGAGTGGTGGGGTAGGGGCGGGAGGCTTGAGATACTGCCTTAATAGAAGAGGGTTCCTTGTCTTTCATGTCTGCTGGGACGAGGATTGTGAGTGGGGTCTGCAGGTTTTTATACTTCTGTTTCTAGCGCAGCTGGCTGAGATTGAGGAGGTTGACTAGTTCGGCGAGGGCATCGTGGCCGGGATGAGTTCAATTTCAATTGAGGCAGTGGTCTAATAAGACTTATTGTCGCTGTGATTTCTCAAGGGGGGCAATTTAGGCGGTGTTGTGTGTTAGCACTGGGCATGGTGCGGGGGTGTATCTTTACGTCTGGTTGTGGTTGGCGTTATCTTTGTATTCTTGGCGGGTGTTGGTAGTCAGTTATCCTAAGATGATTCGGTTGAAAGTTCGTCGATAGGTGTTGCGTGTGGGGTGTGTTTCGGGTGTGTCAGTTGTTCTGTTGTTGTTGGGTTGTTTTATTTGGGTGATGAGGAGGAGGGTGTTCGTACATATACATATTATTTTGTTGATGTTATGGGTTTTTTAAAAGGCCAGTTTTTTCTGTGAGCTGCGACGGCTCGTCCTTGCCCGCATTTTTCAGCGTGGGAGTTCTGACCATGGTGGTGGTACAGAGTCAAGGGCCCCCCCTTGTCTGCGTTCTAATTTGTTCATCTACCATACTCTATCTGTAGGTGCAGCTCGGATCGCTCTAATGAAGTAGAGGAAGATACATGGAAGCAGTGAGCGCATTATTGGATGTTACTTTGGGGTGTATCATAGTATGTCACTATTTTGTTCACTATTTGTATCTTACTAGCGGGCGTCATCTCAAGGCGCCCACTGGGTGCAATTACGGTACGATGAAGCACATGCCTTCAATTTAGGAGCCGATGTTTCACTATTCTAATCGCAGGCTTCTATCTGCCGCTACGATTCGCAATCATTGCAACTCGGCGTTGATACCCAACCCCGAAGCCAGCGCCTAGATTCAGTGGGCAATGGTCATTGGGCCTTAAACAAATTAGGTTTCCATTCAATATCCATTGGGCGCATCACGAGGGTACCACAACTGAAGCGCTGACACTGGGCCGCCGTTTGTACTCAACCTCAGTATATATAAATTTACAGCGGCTCAGTTTCCCTAACTTAATCATATCAGCATGGCTAATTCTTTGCACGCCTCAACAGTTCCTTGTCCTCTCAACATATCTGGTATGTCATTAAGTAGTATCATCAGCTCCGCTGAATATATCTAATAGGTATCATCGTCGATTCCAAGAAGTCGAAGCTGGATATAGAGTCTGCTAAAGTATGGATCGGCGAATCACGTGTGCCTATTGAACGCAAAGGAAGAAAGAGTTTACGACGAACGTTTTCTCCACCCATGTAAGTACCCGACTCCAACACATATTCTCACCTGAGTTGCTACTGTATTTTTGCTCTAGGGTGCTTTCTTATGGGGATACATTCTCCTTACATATGGATTGCCTTGACAAGCCATGGTTTAATACGAAGACCGAAGATTGTTTTTTCAACCCAGAAGATATGTTCCACGTGTATAGTGCAAGCAAAGGACAAGGTGAAACAAGAATAATCGCACTCTGACCTTGGTCACTCACTCAGCCTCACATGCGTAGAATATACAACGCATCATAACAAAATCAGAATCGTGGTCTACTTTTCCAGGAATCCAACAATTACTCCTCGGTGAGTCAGGATGATGATGATGATGATGATGAAGTGTCATTCTTGAGGTTGACACACCCAAGGTTCCGAATTCTAGTGATAGGAAATGTATCTGGCTTTCTCTGATCTCAGGCCAGTGTTGACGCCGTGCTTTTAATAGACTGACGTCGGCAAGTCATCACTAATCAGCCACGTATTTGGAGTGGAAGAAATGGTGGGCTGAACGCGACACTTCAACGAGTACAGCTACTCATACTGTCAATAGATCGATTTGCGAGGGGCCAGCATTGATCATGAGTTCATCTCACCTCAAAACGACAAGTTTGTCCTCCACGGTAGCAAAGGTTTTGGACTCAAAGACAACCTCGAAAAAATCCGAGATTTCATTGACCGTCGGAGGAACATGTCTCCGGAACATCAGTTGCATGCTGTTTGGTAGGGATTCTATCTCGACCATCCCATTATGGTGGACTGACCAAATACACGGAAGGCTCTGCCTTCAGACACCCCGTACAGGCGGACGTTTGCTAGACACAAGAACGAAGGAATTTCTGACATTGAAACGTAGTGGAATACTGGGAAACGGTGAGTGAATCGATAACTATCTCTCTCCTACGTTGGAGCTCACACTTTGCCAAAGTTCCCGTCATTGTCGTTCTTACTAAATACGATAGGCTCGTCAATCAGATACAGCTAACTCTAGACAGAACCTCTCTCAAAGGATTGAGCAATGAAGCCATCAAGGAACTCGCAAAGAAGAACGCAGAAGCCGAGCTGCAGAATAGCTGCATCAGACCTCTTGAGAAATTTGCAGGGTCTAATATCCCCCACGCTGCGGTCTCTAGTGTGTGCCAATACTTCATCAAGTTCATGCGTGCCTCTGAAATGCAATATTCCAGCCAACGAAGACTATAAAAAGACACTCACCCACTTGATTCAGATAACTGAAAACTGTGTCAGTCAGCATTCTGCGTCCGAGGCTGCAGTGATGACCTCCATCCGAGTCGCTCAACGAATGGATCCTGGACTCAAAATAAAGACATCATTCGAGTGAGTCTTGCTTGTTTCATTCTTATCTCGTGATTTACGTAGTGTCAGGATTGCCAAGAAAAGTCTGTCCCAGTTTCGCGTTGATTATTACTGAATACAATTTAAATCTTCTTATCTTGCAGGATACCGGAAAGCGTTTTCATGTTGTTGCACGATATTCAAGAAGCACGAGATGTGGGATTTTCTACATTTGCTTCATACTGACATCGTCAATGTGTGGAACTTCTATGACCTTCATCATGTAATGGCTATCTTATTTGCCTTCACTTACGCCCTAACGTGATTTGTGCACAGCACTTGAACAGCCAAAAGTTCAGGGAATCGATAATAAAAATGGTCGAAGTTGGACCTAACAAAGGACATCGACACTTCTTCAGCCGCGCGCCAGTGATTCAGCACTTTATGTCCTACATCGTCCACTTAACACTTGTGTCGCAGACACTTTATTTCGTGTCAGGAAGCAAGGAAATCACTCCCAGGGCCATCAAGCTTGCGGTCTCTTCCTACCTCGCCTCCCCAATGAGAGCAGAGGCTCGTACTTGGATCCAGGCTTGTGATAGGCAATTGACCATCCTGGACCGGGTGGATCGGGATGAAATTGTTGAGGTGATACGATCTTATAGCATCAATGCGACACGAAGGGTCGGACGTCGGGAAACCACACAAAGGGCCGAACGTCGGGAAAACATTCACCTGAGTGCCCCCATTAATACCCCCGCTACCGTATTTCACCCTACTATGAATTACCCTACCACTATGGACTATCGTCCTACTATGAATTACCCTACCACTATGAACTATCGTCCTGCTATGGACTATCCTATCACTATGGGCTATCCTACTACCGAACGGTTTACACATCAGGGTTAACAATATTTAGGAGCATGTCGTACCAAATGTGAGAAAGATATTTGAAACAAAAATGGAGACATGACTTCAAATTTTGGCAGTGTGCTCACTGATGTCTCCTTGTCACTGACTCGCCTTCTTCCAGGATCTGACCCTTACTACATTCTCCTCCCTCACTGCCTTCGCAGCCGTCGATGGTGAGGCGTGCTTCACCGAAAGATGAGGGTTGAAATATTGAAAGCCTACCAACGCCGAGAGTTTATAATTAAGTGTGCCACTGGAGTCCTGGTCTGTGGACACGCGGCCAATTGAATGACATTTATACTGATCTTCCAGAGGCTCCGAGGCAGCTCTCACACTTTCTCAATCATCCCATCATCCTCTGACTCGTACTCTCGATCTGAAACCATGGCACCCCGTTCTTGAAATTTAACAAGACACAACGGTAAGTGGCAAGTCAGCCTTCAAGCTTCAGGGGCGACTTGTCAAGTTGAAGCTGAAATATAGGGAGCGAGCTCTTTGACCCTTGGTCGGGGCAAGTCAAGTTGTCAAACCAAGGGCTACTAGTGCACGAGAGCCTATATGCGCAGCCATCGATCTTTATGAGATCATTATTCTAATCCCTGATTCAAAACGCAGGCAGTGATGCACTTTGATTTCAGTCGCAAGTGGCAGGGCAGTCATTCTATGAATGGAATAAAGGCAAAGGGTCAATAAAAAAAGCATGACAACTTACCGGACGGGTGAATGATAGCATGTGGTAACCTTTGGCAAAACCAGCGCCCGCATATGTAATGTTACAGGTATTGCCAAAATTAATTGCGCTGGAAAGTATCGAATTCGGCCTCGTCTTTTGGACTTTGACAATCAAGTCTTTTCTACATCTATTAAGCTCACAGAATAAACCTTCTGACGTGGCAGATTATGATATGCTGCAACTGAAAGGTTGCCGGGTTTTCCGATCAATATCGTTTGTTCTGCACGTTGGTAGATATACATACATATGAGACACTTTTGCGAATGCGGAATCAATTAACCTTTCCGCTTCCGTTTCCCTTTCGCACTACTTGGCCAAGAAAGCACGAGATCTCTCGATTTCTTCGCAGTGTTTTGTGCGTCAGTCTGAGCTTCCATGATGACATTTCTGCTCAGACAGAAGTCAATATGTGCATTCAGCCCTTTGTTGTCCGTCTCCAACAGCTTGCCGCATATAGGGCAGTCCTGATGCCGAACACGATCCCCTTGTCTGGCGCTCATTGGCTTTGACGTGGTTGCCGAGAACGGTGAATCACTTGGTCTAGTCCGTGAGGGCCCTGGGGCTGACACTGGTGGTCGTGTTCGTCGCTCATGGTGTAGAGGGTTTGAATCATGGGAGATAAGAATCTGTTCCTCATCATCGGGAGCATCGAAACCTCGCCCTTCTGCATTTTCTTCTTCTTCATAGAACCCTGGCATCGATTCATGATCTTCTCCAGTGTCGTGTTCCTCATCGTTGCAATCTTCCGCGTTGCTAGCAAGTCTCGGTCTCTTTCTTGGCGACGAATTTGCAGGTTCAAAGAACTGGAACAGTGCAGAATCTTTTCGTTGTCATTGTTGATGATAGAATATAATAAAGCATACCCGCTTAATGCCTCCTAACGGTTCTGGGGCATGCAAGTCTTTCAGCTTGGTGAGTCGTAAGCCAATTAGTCGGAGTGTGAGGGGCAACTCCGGAAGCAATAATTCTTTCCCAATCTGATGTACCGCGCGTGAGCCTTGTAAAAGTGAGTTTGTGGTCCTTCACTCACTGCAAAAAGGTCTTCCTTCTTCGAACTAACCCAACGGTCAAATGACTTTGCTCGTGTAAAGACTGCAAAAGGTAAGTAGGAAATTATATGGCCAAATGTTGCGCAAACTGTGGCTTACCTTGGAATGTGTCCAACTTAAACTTGAGGGTCACCGTTTTCCCTGTCCAGCCCCCTCTGACCATGTCGTCTTCAAGTTCCCCTGCCACCTCTTCCAATTTTCTCAGGATCTGTATCTTGTTACTTAATGCGTGAAAGGTCCTAAATAGTCGTTGGAGCGCGACGCTGACGAGAGCGATATGGCTTGCCTTTCTGCACCGATGCTTTTCTTCTCCTCTCGTTGAATGGGTTGTACGACATTGGATGCGATACCGAGATATGTTCTCAGTAGGAATACTAGGCCAAACTGCTTGTCCATTAATTGCAGCGTTGCTCTATGCTTGAAGATATCACCACATGTCTATGCGAAATCAGTGCATATTCAACGCAGCATTATTCGCACTGACCTTGATGCCTAGAGCCTCAAGAAGACGCTCGTTGACACGTCCTACCCCGGGCACCTTGCGGATTGAGAGATCGTGCATGAAAGCTTTGATGGAAGTGTGGTCAAATGCCAGATGATACTGGCCGTTCGGCTTGTTCTGTAGCAGAAGTCAGTGCTAACACCTAGTTTCATAACGTTCCTAGAACCTTGTCCGAGCATATCTAGACAGCACAAAAGTTCAATCAAGAATAAAACCGAATTGATTGTCTTAAACGACCTTTGCTAGCATCTGAGGACCGTAGATTAGCACGGCTTCGTTGAAAAGAAAAGATACACACACACCTTGTTCGGAGCAATCCCAGCGCTCACTGTCAACGATGTCTCTCTGAAGACAGTGTCACGAATTTCTTGTACACAGGTATCCGCATCCACCATATGTTCCTCGCAATACTTTGTGATGCTGAGTGAACAGACGATTAGCGCCGACCAACTCAAATATACCTACTATGACTCACTTCAAGTACCCTTCATCGCATCCTGCAGCGAGCATAGTAGGATCATATCTCTCGAAAATGTTCATAACTTTGTCAGACATTTCTGAATAACGTTCGAAATTGGATTTCAGAAGAATGAGGTCGGGGCAGAGCTTCTTGGCGACGAATGCTAAAAAGGACTGCACTGAGAATGGTGCAATGAAATACAGAAAACTTAGACGGACTCGCCATCCCGGAGCGCGCACCGAATTTACGCGCCTCGTAGGAAGCGGTGGAGAGCACCCCGCCTCCAACCTAAGGAAACGTAGTTCACTGTACAGCACGGTACTGATATGAGATTGCAAGCTCACGGCAAATGGCTTCCCTTGCAGCGATGGGTCATCAAGTAGCTCAACGCTGCAGTAAAATGCATCCATGTCAACATGTACCACGGTTTGACTCAAGTCGCGCTGTGATTCGAGTTCTTCGAGCTACAATGTGGCTTGTCTTAATGCACTCCTGAGTTGTAATTGCTGCTCACGAGGTGATCGATGTTTCGCTCAATTGGACCTAGTAAAGCATCGAATCTAATGTTGACTTCTCGGAGGCGGACTGATTCACGCACGTATATCGATGCCCTGCAGGGCTTCGTCACGTTGCTTCAGGATTTTGGCAATGCGTTCCGATAATTCTTTGTCTTTGCGCTTTTCATTCTAAACATCTTTCTGAGTGATTGGGGGGTGGCTTGAATGACGTGGGCTTGCCTCATAGAACTTGGAGCCCTTCGAAGCCTCGGCAATTACATGATTGATTGCAGTTTGATCATGAGTGAGGCTACAAGCTGTCAAATATTTTCGAAGGTGCAAGTATTATTTGGAGGTGACAAACCCGGCTTTCGTGGAGGAGGGACCAGCCAGTCGTTTGAGTAAACTGACGGAGTCTTGAGAGAGTTCAGGTGGGTTTTCTGGCTCCATAAAACGTTGAGTGACTCGAGTCAGGGGAATAGACAACCTCGTGTTCGCCGTGTGGTTCTGTGAGGTGCCACCGTGTTCTTGCTTGCACGTCACGGTGAACCGTTGCTACAGTGGCTGTGTAGCTCCTGAGAAGCGTTCCGCGATAAACAAACATCACAAATAATCGGCTACTCAGCGCTCAGCGCTAGCATTCTGGATTATTCCTTCAAAAACTCCGTATCCACCACTACTTATTATGATATATAAAGCCATAGACAGCCCGTTTGTAGCACTATATAAAAAATTAATAAACGACCTAAATACTGCATGCCAACTTGAAGCCCGCTCCGATAACCTTTCAACTTGTGATGTAGGACAAAAGAAGTTATGATTCATACTCAGCGCTTTGCCCTCGCCCTTCTCATGATGACGCAGACGAGCGCAGTGTCCCAGTTTTGTGGTTGATCTTTCGATTCCACTATGGGAGTAGGAGGCGGGACAGGTGTGGGCGGACGGCTATACGCCGAAGAGCTCTGCTCTAATAAACCCATCGAGGTGTACGAAGTAGAGACGAAGAGCTTCAAAAAGGCGGATTCTTGGTGTTGGTTATCAGGGAAAGGGAAATTTAAAGGAGCGATACCACTGCCCGTGCAGCCTATGTCAAGATAGCTGCGCTTCCGCAGTGGTGGTATAGGGTGCGATGGCTGGGGGTGGTAAAGTAACTGGATGTCGACTCCGTTGGAATCCATATAGGCCAAATATGGCCAGAGATCTGTATCTGAGTGATTGTGGAGGACTACAGCATAGCGTGCACCCTCACTATGCGATATTGCAGCCGTTCCATCAACCAACAGGTTTGGGCCAACCCGTCGCTGGGTGTGAGGGTCGACCCGGAAGATTTCCATGCCCAGTGATTCGTGGAACGGTTTGGCGGGATTGGTTCGGTGGAGGTGCATGTGGAAGCGTGCGGCTTCGCTGAGGATGACACCAGATCTGGACCTATCTTTCTCTATGCGTATAAGTGGGTGGGCGGTGGGAGGAACAAGGTGATCAAGATTTTGGACCCGTACGTCTCGGGTGTGAACGCCGACCGACATGTCCGCCTTAGCAGAAGTCTCGACTTGCACAATATTCAACCCTTCCTTTACAGGAATGCCATCCAGTTCTGCTTCTGAATTCTTGTTGCGAACGAAGAGGCGCCTGAGAATAGAGGAGCACGTCCTCTTGACGTAAATCCGGAAAGGAGTGCGGCTATTCCATCGAGTAATGCGTGCCCATGAACCGCGACCCCCAGGTTTGTTCATGCTCTTGCGCCTGGCGAGTGACCACGTAGGGTGAACTTCATACACGCGGAAGCTGTCAAGTGACGGATTGATAGAGCCAAAGCGATTGTGATCGTGAATGCTGAATTCGGTGCCCTCAACAACGCCATGCATGGCTCCCATTTCCAGACGAAGGCGATCCTTTTCGCCGTTGACGGGAACAAGGGATGCATCAGCAACGAATGGGACACCATTCATGAAAACTCGGTCCTTGCGTCTGCCGACGCAGACTGGATGCTGCTGAATGTGAGTCAAACCTTTTGCAAGGTGCTCTGATAAATCAGAATATTTCATCTGATGGAGAGGGAGCACGTCTTTCACAGTCAGAAGCTCTGAGGTGAATTTCCCTCCTTCCTTCCATTCTAGTGCCTTCTCGCCTGGCCGGCAGGCGGCAAGGAGGACGTGACTCTGGCAGTCGTCCTGGAAGAAGCCGAATTCTCCTCTAAAGCTCCGCCCGACGGCGCCTTGCCACAAGCCCAAGAATAAGTCTTCGGGCGTGGCTTTTAAGGTGGGCGTATAGCGGACGAAGCGGCGGTCTCTAGCACTTGAGCCAAGCTGTGCCTTGGGGAAACAGCAGTCGAGGATGAGAGTGATGTTATCACCTTTGATGAGGCTGAGTTCTGCTAGCATCGCGAAGAGTGAGCGGTCAGATATGCCTGCTACACGTCCTTCTGGTCCTTTCGTATCATGGTCGTACGGACACAAAACCTGGACGCTACCAAGCTTGCCCTCGCACCAGTCTGGTGGTGCGCGCAAGGTGCTCCCATGGCCAGCAAAATATACAATCAACGCGTCGCCTTTTGCAATGGCAGGATTGTTAACAAGATGACTCATAAACGTATCTTCAATACGACGTTTGGTGCCTTCTTGGTTGAGGAGAAGCGCGATGTTCTCTTTGGGTACTTGGAGATCTTGCATGAGCCATTGTTTCATGCGCTGCGCATCGTGAGCGCACGCTTCGAGGTTCCAAATTCTTCCGGATTTGTAATCGTCGATGCCAATTAACAGAGCGAATACGCGGGAAGCCATCTAGGTACAGTAAAGAGGTGAGTACCCTCTGAAACGAGGAGTTCACTCACCTCTTGAAGAATGAACGATGCGGAAGAACCGAACTATTGATGATATGTAGCAGGAAACAATAGCTTAAGTACTTTTTACTCATAGTACATCATGCTAGCGTATTTTTGACAGACGCGTGCAGCACGTAAAACACGCGTTCGTTGACGCGGCAGAGGCACCGCTAAACCAGAGAACGGGCATCAAACACAGTCACTGGCATGCGGAGTCGAATCACCTTCGGATATGATCAGTGTGAAACGGAACATACCTGAATCTTGCCTGGCTAAGAAAAAACATTTGTCCTTCGATATGTTCTGGGGCAATCTGAGTAGAAGAAAATGCCACTAGATCGAATCGGCTCCTGACAAACGTCTGGCAAGATAAAATGACTACGGCGTCAATAACTCCCATTTCGTCACGTTCAAGTTCGTGAAGACATCGGATGAGGGGGAGACGTGTGCTTGACGTAACTTTTCTCTTCATCATTTACAACGCGTGTTTTCATGACTACCGCAGCTGGTTCGAGGGCGTAAATTCTGTAGGTGAAATTCATGTAGGAACGTTAGCACGATCGTTGGTACTAATCTCTGAGGACCATTGGTTCACAAAAATGTTCCGAGGTCGTGGACCACAAAATTATGTAATGCATTAGTCCACGAGTCCAATCAAAGATCGTTTATCGTACGCTTCAGCATTACAGCCAGCCACACCTTTGTGCAGTGACGTCTTCCTCCAACTTGTCACTGATAAGTCTTATGCTTCTTAGGGTTTTATTAACAGCTGGATCTTGCCCGCACTGCCACAGACCAGTAGTATCAATCACTTTACTTGGAGCCGATCCATCATCACGATGAGCTACGTGTGCCAACAATGTAAAGAGCCACTCCAGGTAACAATTTATCGTTCCTCGAACCGAATGCCCTGATTGATGAACATCAGCTTGATGCATCATTGGTAGATCTCGCACCCTCTGCTTATGACATGATTGTAGCCTCTTTGCCTTCTGTGCCAGCCTCGCGTGCGCGCTATGCAACAGACTCAGAGGCCGAGAAAATAGCTCAACTTCCATCCCCATCTGCAAGCAAAGCAGCATGGCAGCAGGCCACACCCTCAGACAACTCGAGGGCATCACCACCCCTTTCTACTCGAGCTCAAGGGAAACAACCCCAGCGCAACTTTCCAGCACCGAATGAGTCATTTGTGCTCCTGCAGGAGAGCATGATACGCAGTATACCTTCTCCAATCCCAGGAGCTGCAATGCCTAAGAAGGCTACTCTCGGCAACCAAAAGAACTTTCCAGCCAAAAACACTCATCCACTACCTGCACACCAGCAACCTGAGCCAGACCATTCGAATCCAACACCTATCTCACATCACCTGCGCTCCACTATGAGGCTGTTTAATGTACTTTCTACCCGGTCTGACATTGATCACCCTTTGTGCGCGGAATGCACACAAATTCTTCTTTCATCACTTCAAAGGCAGCTTGACGAGACAAAGAAAGAGCGTGATGGTTATATCGCATTCGAGAAGGAGGTTCGGAAGGAAAGAGAACGGGAGAGCTTGGATCTCAGTAGACAAGATGCAGAGAAAAAGATCGAAAGACTAAAATCCGAAGAACGGGCTGCCGTTGAACAATTGCGCCTTGCTGACAGGGAGAGGGAGCAACTTGATGAGGAGCTCAAGTTGTTAGAGACGGAAGAAAAAGCGCTGGAAGAAGAGGAGGCTGAGTAAGTTGGTTATTGGGCTCCTCTGATCGCATATTAATCTCCGTTGTAGATTTTGGCGATCACACAATGAGCACCTCCTAGTCTTGGCAGAACAAGCCTCACGTTTAGCTTCACTGCGTGCAGCATATGCTGCAGATTACGCTACGCTCGAGAAGCTCGAGCGCACAAACGTTTACAATGATGCGTTTTGCATTGGTCATGATGGCGTCTTTGGAACAATCAATGGCCTCAGGCTTGGGAGGGTTCCCGGAGTCCCAGTACGTTAGCCTTTCTCATGATGACCCGATTCCTGACAACGTGCAGGTTGAATGGCCCGAAATTAATGCAGCATGGGGTCAGACCCTTCTCTTGCTATATACGATTGCACGGAAGCTTGATTACACATTCGAGAAGCAAGTCAGGATTCAATCTCGCCGTCTATGCATACTGAGGATCATTTACAGCTACCGTTTGATCCCAATGGGTTCATTCTCGCGCATCGAAAGAACTGTAGGCGATAAAGCGACATACGAACTGTACGGGTCGGGTGATCTCCATCTCGGTCGCCTGTTACATAACCGTCGGTTTGATTTTGCTATGGTAGCGTTCCTAGAATGCTTGAAGCAACTCATAGATTCCGTCAAGTCTCAGGACCCTACCATTGAATTCCCCCATCAGTACGTGAGCGTCTTCTATATTCATCCCACGCCACACTGACCCTTTTGAGGCAGAATTGTCAAAGATAAGATAGGGGAAGCGTCTGTAAAACTTCAGTTCAGTCAGGAAGAGGCTTGGACTCGAGCGTTGAGACACGTTCTGCTTGCGCTGAAGATTGTTTTGAAGTGGACGACCAATGGCGGTAACGGCTAATGAGAGTCCATTTCCCTGTAACTGTATAACGTGGCCGCTTGCAGTGTGATCATCCTCTCGGAGCGCTGCGGATGGGTTTTTTGACCAGAATAACATGCTTCACACGACAATGTACACGTGAGGTATGGGCGTCTATTTGTCCGCTTCTATACCTTTCCTAAACGGACGATCGGAGAACGAAACGATTAAGTCCCTGTGGCATGATATGACTTGCCAGGTCGACATTCTGACTCAGTAGATGCATTTGAAGTTTTGAAGTCTTGCGTGATCCACAACGATTACACGACGTATGATAATTAATCATCCCCATTTGACAAATCATTATTGGCTGTGCATGTGATCAAAATATTGGTAAGGTATCAACTGTAAGCTTCCGGCCATTCCAAATCTATCCGGACTTTTCTAACTGTATTTGGACTCGGAGCATCCTGTCTCCCCGTTTATATATCGAGCAAGGAAGCGGCTTGCACAAGCTCGTGCCCGCAATACGTCACGAATGGGCCTCCTGTACCTTGGAACACCCTTAACATGGGATGAAGCGAAGCAGTATGCGGACCATGTTCGAGAACATGGTATCACGCAGTTTCTCTATACCTGGGATCGAGTGAAGGACAGATGGGGCGATGAGTTGCTGTGGGGAGACGAGGTGAATATTACCAGTCCCAGTTTTGCTTGCTTACATTTATAATGAAAGGTGGAATACATGGTCGTTACCTTTGACGACAAGGAGAAAAATGCAAAACTTTCTCTCCGCCAGACTGAGATCCTTGCAAAGCTTAGTCAGGTCGTAGGAGACCTTACAGACGACGATACACCCGCCCTGTGAGTAATTGGATCCTCAGGGGAAGCGCCGTAATAGAATTGTTCCTCAGCATGACTGTTCCGACTTTCCACCCAGAATACGGAAGATACATGCTGGAGTCGACTCCTGGCTCTCCATACACGGGCTCTATCCCGGACTTACTATCCGTCGAGACAAACATGCACTACAGGTAATGTCGCGTCTCAATGTTTGTGGGTATTATGTGTGGTATTGAACCTTGTCATTGATAAGACGTACGCTCGCAAAAAGGCACCTGAAGGAAAATGAAATCCCATTCACCTTCACATCTTTCCCTCGCCTGGGAACGAATGGCATCTTTACTGAACCTCATTTCTCATCGGACGATGCCAAGTCCAGCCACAGCCTCTTTTTGCCAGAGGAGATCACGAACCCTCACGCACGTTTTCCGTCAGTACCTGACTATTTTGACTGTACATGGACACAAAACTTATCCAACTTGTTTAGTACCCTAACAGCTAATATCCGCAGTAGACGGGGCTCCAAGGTAGCAATCAACCTTCCCATATTCATTGATGAAAAAACACCTCGACCGTTTGTTGACCCCACTATACCATGGCAACGTTCGATATACCAAGAAGATCCGGGTAAGTGCAACCCTTATCCCATTTACTGAATCAGATTTAATTTATCGGTGACTCAACAGAGGCGAAGAACGGTGCGGCATTGATCGATCATATCTACATGGACGCAATGGGCTTCGGAATGGGATGTTGCTGTTTGCAACTCACTTTCCAGAGTTGCAATGTAGATGAAGCAAGGCGCATGTATGATGCTCTTATTCCCGTTGGACCAATTATGGTGCGTAGGTGCTTTAGTGAGGTAACTCTTAGATGTATCAAGACGTTTTGCAGCTTGCTTTGACAGCAGCTAGTCCGGCATGGAGAGGTTACCTCGCTGATGTAGATTCCCGTTGGAATGTCATTGCTGGCAGCGTCGATGACCGCACACCAGAAGAACGCGGTTTGAGAGTCAGTATCATTTCAGTTCCTTATTGTGCTTTCTGAAACGAGTATCCTAGCCTTCGAAAGACAACTACACGATACCCAAGTCCCGTTATGACAGCGTTGATCTATATATCGCAAATAATTGGACCAACAAACCCGAATATAACGACGCTCATGTACCCTACAACAAAGGTATCTTTCAACGTCTTCGTAATCACGGTGAGTATGGGGCCTTTTGACTTTGTTACGACTGACTCTGACTCCCTTGGATTTAGGCATAGATGAGATGCTTGCCAAGCACGTAGCACATTTGTTCATTCGAGATCCTCTCGTTATTTTCTCTGAAACCATCAATCAAGATGACACTACTAGCAATGACCACTTCGAGGTGATGTCGCTCTTCGTCCTGCTCTGTTTGTTATTCTCAACGTCTTGGTAGAATATTCAATCCACAAATTGGCAGACTCTTAGATTCAAACCGCCCCCACCAAACTCTCCCATCGGCTGGCGTGTAGAGTTTCGTAGCATGGAGGTGCAAATGACAGACTTTGAGAACGCTGCATTTGCTGTCTTCATTGTCCTCCTTTCGCGCGCCATCCTAGCATTCAACCTTAATTTCTATATTCCTATTTCCAAGGTTCAAACGGATATATCTCCTCGATGTCATTTGACTGATATTGTAGCAGGTTGATCAGAACATGGCACGTGCACAGAAGAGAGACGCAGCTCGTTCCGGAAAATTTTATTTCCGGAAGGATGTTCTTCCTCCAGGGCATGACACTCTTACCATTAGTCCACTTTCGTGCTCTGGATCATCTTCGCCTGTGGAAGGTGCTCCAGCGAAGGAGAAATTACTTCGCAATTGTTTCCCCTCTGTTCCTCGACCGTCGTTTGTGGAAGATGGACCGATTGAAGATGAGTATGAGGAGATGACTGTGGAAGAGATTTTTGTTGGGAAGGTTGCTATGTATTCTTTGCCTGCAGCTTTCAAATGTTGACATTTGTCTCAGGGATCCAAGTTCCCTGGTCTGCTTGGCGTCGTCGAGGCTTACATCGACACCTTAGACGTTGATGAGGGAGACAGGTCGCAGATTAACAAATACCTCGACCTTGTCCGCAGACGCGCAATAGGCACGGATATAATTTCTTTTTCTTTCCAGACGTGTGCTCACATCAGTTTTAGGCTCTTTACAGACACCCGCGACTTGGATTCGTAATTTCGTGCGCTCTCACCCAAGCTATAATCGCGATTCTGTTGTGAGCCAGGAAATAAATTACGACCTCATGGTTGCTGTGGATGAGATGTAAGTAATTTACATGATGGATATATTGTAAGATTCTCAAATCTTTTTATGATAGTGAGCGTGGCGTGCGACGCGTACCGGAGTTGTTACCAGAGGATTACGCGCCCACCAACGGCTACCATTCCAAGCCTAACAGTCCTTGACATATTGTGATCTGCATTGTTTCTCTTTAGAATTGTAGATCTACTTGTGTATAAATTATATCACTGTCATTCCTGTATCCTAGAAGAGGGTACAATCCCGACCCCGTCAGCCACAACCTTAGGACAATATTAGCCGTTGTCACCATGAATTGAACTCTTGTCTCCTTCGTGATCCCTTGTTTTCTCGGTCTTCTCTTTGTTGTCTTCATTGTGATGGCTTCTGGTTCGCCGCTCGTGCCCAATCAGGTTGCCATATTTCGTGGGGAAAGTATATATTGTTGCTGAGAAGATCAGTCGCAAGATGGAATACGACAGCTGTACGATGGACAAAATTTAACAACTGGTGAATGGGGCGAGCGGACATCGATATCATCGTGACGCATTCGAATTGTGTGATAGTTCCCATTTTGAAATTTCATTCCACGGTCGTCATGAACTACATTACCATTACAGCAGAAATAGTACCGTCAGCATGAATCCTGAATGGACTTGCGGGAGGAAGGGCTTCTCGTATCCATACCTTTATATCAAAGTTGACTTCACCGTTGGAGCACTGATGAAATACACGGAGTGCCAATGCGGGTGCAAAGTGTATGTAGACCCTTTCAAATTGGGTGGCGTGAGTGCAAGACAAGCATACATTATCTGCATGCTATGCGAAGTTCGAGCGGTAGTGGATGATCAGATGTTCCACTGGAACGCTAACATAGGAATGACCATACTACATAGGGACGTCGACGGTGGCTTGTGCGGACAGGCCGATCATGGTATGATTCCTTGAAGATCGCGGATGTGAGCAGAGAAGTGTCAAAGAAGCGTTGAGCTATATTCCGATTGCGGTCAAGTTGCGGCGTGATGCAGAACGAGATTGATAAAGAACACTTGAGACATGCAATCGGATTTGGTGAACAAGTTAGTGAAGTAGAGCCATGTAAAAACATGGGGAGAATGGCAATCATGTGACACAAGTCACGTGGCTGTGAAGCGGCTTTATCCGACCAAAGAACGTATCGTTCCTCACTCCATCTTTCGGTCACGTCCACAAAATACTTTGACCATGTCTACTTTGCGTCTGCTCTCCTCTGCCGCCCGACGTGCACCATCAGCGCTCGCACAGCAGCGACGAGGATACGCTGAAGTAGCTGACAAAATCAGCCTTTCCCTGGTCCTTCCTCACCAGGTGCGTCCGCTGACTGCTTCCATTTACTCCGAATTGAAGCCGGAATATTGCGAAGGCTATCTTCACTTCTACAGATGTTGTTCAGGTGAACCTCGCTGCTGCAACAGGTGACATGGGTATCCTGGCAAACCATGTTCCCTCCATTGAGGCTCTGCGTCCTGGTTTGATCGAGGTTGTTGAGTCGGGAAACGCTTCCAAGAAGTGGTTTGGTGTGTTGAGATTTTTGATATTATTCTACACATGATATTAATGCACTGTGCTAGCTTCCGGTGGCTTCGCAACTGTACACCCCGGTAACAAACTCACCATTAACGTCGTCGAGGCTGCGCCTTTGGAGTCATTCTCTTCTGAGGTAGGTTTCATCCTCATACGTGTCACCGCACTCTAAATTTCTCCTCTCAGGCCATTCGTGCAAATCTACAGGAAGCATTGAAGGTCGCCGCAGGGAACGGATCCGAAGAGGACAAAATGGAAGCACGGATAGAGGCTGATGTGTATGAGGCCTTGCAACATGCTTTGGGGTCGAAGTAAAATTGTGATTCCAGCCACCGGCCGTATTGCTAGAGTATCACTTATTCCAACCTTGATAACGCTCTTACTTTTGCGTGTCTTTGAGTCCCGCTAGTACTGTGCAAGTTACTTCACGTCTGAAAGTCCGGGTACTTCCGCGGCTCCGTTCCAGCGAACCTCGCGTAATGGGTGAGGGCACCTGCGCCCTGGGGAGTATGCGCGCTGCTTTCCCTTCAAGGATTCCCTCCTGCGAGGCATAAGTCACAAACCAGGCGCAGTGGACTTATTGAAGGCAACGCAAGACGTCGTATCCCATGGAGCTGCCACTTAGCTGGCATGACGCGTCTTTGCTTAAGCATGAACCTCTGTTGACTTACTGTGTGCTATACTCTCATGCCCAGCGTCGTGAAAGCAATACCATTATCAATGACTTCGTGGAGGAGATGCGGAAAAACGTATGTCATGTGCACCGGTACAGATATAACTGACAACCTGGACATACTAGCAACGAGCCCTTGCTGCAGTTCAAGCATGGATCCGCCTGGCATTTCCACCAGAAAATGATGAGACAGACATCATAAAACTCTCTGCCAATGATCCAAAGATGTTGGCCATCTTCTTTGAATTTTATCGTCTATTAGAAGCAGGGAACCGCCCATTGGACTCCTACCTTACCCAGAAGAAACGTGAACTCTTGAGCGGTCGCGCCACTCAAGGCACACGGTCTGGCCGCGGTGAGCACAGCGCAAGGGCGCGTAGACATGGAGTCAATGACGGCCGCAACCGTAGTAGCGGTCCGGGTCGTGATCGCGGTCGCGGTCGCGGTCCTGGTCCTGGTCGCAGTCGTGGTCGCAGTCGTGGTCGTGGTTATGGTCGCGGCCGCAGCAGTGGCCAGGAGGGTCAAAGTCCGGCACCTTCGACAGTTACCAAGGCGCTACAAGAGCATTCCCGCACGTCTGAGGCACCTGAGTCCAATAAGGTTCCCGATGGTAAATGCATGCACGACAGTTCGGGTGGCATTTCTTCGATTGATATGCCGATTTCCCTGCCATTACTCAATCAGGAGGATTGTCCAGATACTGCACCTTCACCGCCCGTTTGTCAATTACCAAGGGAAATACACCCAGGACTGGCCAGTAGCTCGCTGGGCAATGTTGACAGCACTACTCCTGCTCATGTAGGACAAGGTACACAAGTCCTTGCTAATGGTAACCTGTCCTCAAACCACGGCCGGGAGGATAGCGGCCTACAATCTAACGATTCAGATCACTTCGTAGCGCGATCTTCCGAATTGATGGTTGCAAGTGCACTTCCGCAATCTAGACGGTCTCTTCGCCCCTTGCCACGCAAAGTAGCGACAAAGTATATTCCACCAAGACATGGACAACAGAGTTCCTATGCTCAACTCTCGAGACAAGCCCTCAATCAGGAAGGAGTCGATCGTTTATTGACAGATATTGGTAGGAACGCCTCGTTGATGCACTCCCAGACAGTCTCAGTGCATATGGAGGACTGGGCTCGCGATGATGATCAAGACGATGTCGCGGATGTCGATAATATTGCCAACGAACTTGATATACCTTCAGTCAACGATACTTTACCTCCGTTGTCAGGCTGTAAGGAGGTGGCCGACATCAATGTGCCAACGATGGAACAGCAGAAACCTCATTTACCTGTAATGCCGCCAATTTGGGCCGAGGTACGCACAACACTGTGTGAGCATACCGTATTCTTAACTGGTATGCAGTCTCGCCAAGAAGTCTGTGAATCATTCGACTACTTTCGAAGCTATCAGAGTGGTGTTTATTCTTTGAAGGATATTGTCAAAGGCTATCTTTTGGGTGGATCACCCGCAAGGTATGTTCTTTCATCAAAAGGCAAGATGTCGCTAACTGAATGAGGTCAGCCGTGATATCTTTCATTGCGGGGGAAGATTGATCGTTTCCCATGGGTTAGTTCATGTCACATCTCTCCCATAAGTTGCCTGATTTGTGGCTATACAGTGGCGGTAAAGCTGAGAGCATCCTCGATTACCGGGTTGGTGCTGCTCGGTTTCAACAGGCTCAGGATCAAGAAGCCACAGACAAATCCGTCCGTGCTCTACTAAAGAGCTACACAGACAAACGACCTCTGGTTCTTCTAGCTGATGATAAGTACGCTCTATTCCCTTATGATCTTAGTGCCTCGGGCTGCACGTATGTCGTCCTTGGATTATATTGGATATCTCATGCATGGGGTATGATACGTCCAAATCGCATTTCTGAGTCGCTATCGCTGAGTTCTCACTGTAGCCGAGTATCAACCCGCATCCAATGGCTGCGGAAGGGTTGTCCGCTGGAAGTTCGCTTTCCAATGGTGCGAAGGACAGGGAAATCCGTGGTGGATTTCATCCGAGAGCGATGATGTGGATATGCCTCCCGATCCAATCGGAGGTGGGTTGCTAAGATTCTGCCATTCGATATTTCTGAATTTTGAGCAGGTTGTCGGTCTGCTCCCAGACAAGATCCGTCGCCGCCAGATGCCGTTGTTAATATGGCATGCAATAAGTGTTCTCAGAAGAGTCCTGTTGTTTATTCACAGGGATGGATGTGTCTGAACCCTTCCTGTACTTCCTTTTGGAGTATAGGAGGACGAGAGCTGGAACAACTTGATTATAACGCCTCATTCTTACGCCCGATTAAAACAGTATTTACCAATCTTCCAGAGCTTCGCCCTGCGAAACTTATTGAAACGATGGATTCCATCACTACTTCGTATGCATTTAGCAAGGGATGGCACTGCGAGAAGTGCGGGCGCCTTTCGAGTCGGTAAGTGTAGCTTCGGAGATATACTGTGCTACCCTGACGCAAGTTTGAAGGTTCAAATGGGAACATTGGGAATGTTCTCATTGTCATGTATGTGTCGTCCCCTCTTATTATGTGGCTTCCCTTGAGGCATTTCCTATAGTTAATTCACAAAATTCCCGGAAGACTGCGGACAGCAAAAGAGTTTTGGCACCAACGACCACCAGCAGATTTTCTACACTCGCAAGTTGGAAAACAATCAGGTTTGCGACGTCATTGTCATTTACTGGCACTTCTCCCTCACATTGATGCGACTCTCGCAGGGATCATCGCTTGTCGTCCAGAGCCATTCGAACTGGGCGATGGCGGAGGATTTACAAACCACCTCACTTTCATTCTCCCTAATGAGATGTAAGGGTCACACTAGTACGCTGTGCCATTATCTTAATGACGAAGTCATGCAGAGGAAGGATCCATCTCTTATTGGGTACTCCATTGGCAAACAAACAGGCGGACGAGATATTCCGACAGTATCAGGAGCAAGCTGAAGAGGGAGAATTGCTTCTGAGAAGATACCCACTCAGGCTTGTAAGTAGCTTCCTTTTATCTACGAGATCTTTCTGAAATCCACCCAGAAAAAACGTACGGAATGAAGATTTTAGAACTGTGTTAGTGATCACTCAAACTGTATTGCAGTTCGTGGAACTTTCCTTACTAATTACTTTTCTCAAAATTGTGAGTGCGTATCATTTTGACTATAAATTCTTGTGTTGAGCATTTTGGCATGTAGCGGGTGAACCATACCAGGTCATTGCATCCTGTATCTGCTTTAATGACAATGCTCAAGGATGAAAAAGTATGTTGGTGGAACAGGAAATACCGTGCCTTTCGACAAAGCGCCATCATCTGTGTGTGGTGCCCTCGCCTTGATCAAAGAGAGATCTCGTCTCGCTCTTCAAAAAGACATCCCATTCAACGAGATCCTCAGCGCTGCATATATGGAAAAACAAAAGATGTCTGTAAGTTCTGCGAAATAATTGCCCCGTAGTCTTGCATTGACGTATCTTAGTTCCACAGTGACAGTGAGCGCGGGCTGGGTCCTGTCGTAGCATCCCTTTCACTAGGGTCCGCGGCATTCATGCATTTTCGTGCCCGTGCTACATCAAAGGAGCCAAAACACTCATCGTCAAATGTGTTAACTTTGATCCTCCGGCACGTAAGTCGTGTTTACAAAAGTGCAGTCGTCCTAGACCTGAAAATCCTCAGGGAGACGTGCTGATCATGGAAGGCGATGGTGTTCAACAGCATTATGAGTAAGTCTCGAGTTACATGTGAACGATCTTATCTGAACGTACTTGTTCCAGGCATACTGTCATACCCATGAATTTTCGCATTGCTGCCACCGCTCGTTGCATTGGAACTGCATGATCAGTACCGGATGTAATAAGCGAAATTGAATTTTTGGTGTGAAATGCTACTATGTTTTCGTTCTATAATATCGCTTTGTTTGCCCCCTTTTGTCGTTCCTCGTAATTCCATTTAATATACCGAGTCGCATTTTATCCAGTGTGCGACCGTGTCGTGTGTTTCGTGAGCCAACGTGTCTATCAGTTGATAATAGGGTATTATTTTCTGAGAGGATTGACGAACGCGCCGAACGTCGTCGATTGCTGCTCAGTACGAGTATATATCCAAGTCAACAATTTAAACAGCACGTAATATATACATTTCTACTCGTCATCTTCTCCGTGAATTGACGCAGGCGCCTCCTCGTCAAGCCTTACGATGCGATTGGTCTCCTGCCAATGACCCTCGACGACCAGCAACCTCTGCAAGATGCGCAGCCCAAAGATCGTCAGCTTGATATAGCTGCGAAATTGGAAATCAGCCCGCAGCAAAGCATGATATATATCAGCAATCACTCACATCGCGACATCGGCGACATGACTCGACGTCTATCATACTGGATACGTCGTAGGTAGTAACTCTCCCATCGCCGCAAGCGCCGAACGTAGGCCGACAACGTCCAGATCTCGCGCAGGAGTGACGTTCAGCGCTTTAAGAACAATCGACGGGTCAACGTCTGGTGGTGATGTGTAGGGTGGGAGTTCCGGTATTGGGAGGTCCTCCTACGACATGTTAGAATGTATAATGATGTAGCCGCGCACTGAACGCAACCCACCTCGGACCTCTCCAACCATCCCATAACCCACACCCATGCTTGACGTTCGTGTATCCAGTTGTAGTTCACATTTGGATCGAGTGTTCCGCCCCATTTTACTGTAGAAAGCACCGCATCCGGATCGATTACAAGAGAAACGTCTACCAGAAGTCCATAGGAGGAAAGTGAGAGGAGTACAAGTGCGGTGGAAGGGTCGTACATGAGCATCCTGCAGTATATTTGCACACGTGAATAATATAGAACGAGGAAGAGGACTTACCGTCCTGCAACGCGGAGCTTTCGCCCCACATCGTCATCAGTAATGCAGTCCAACATCATAACCGTGCCGGGTGCTGGCCGTTGCATTCCTTGACCCCTTACTCGGTTCCTACTAGTACACCAGGCTTGTCGTTAGATAGGCCTAGGCCTCAGCACATGGTGTTGGTGCCACTCAAAGGTTCGGAATTGTTTCTATTCCATGCTGTTGCTGACAAATGTTATCCGATCCTATAAGTCCGCTGTAAGTACTGCTTCCATTTACTCAAAATTGAAGCCGGAATATTGCGAAGGCTACTTATCTTCACTTCCACAGATGCACTTGTCCAGGTGAACGTTGCTGCTGCAACATGCAGGTGGCATGGATATCCTGGGAAACCATGTTCCCTCCATCGAGGCTCTGCGTCCTGGTTTGATCGAGGTTGTTGAGTCGGGAAACGCTTCCAAGAAGTGGTTTGGTGTGTTGAAAATTTGTACACCCCGATAACAAACTCACCATTAACGTCGTCGAGGCTGCACCTTTGGAGTCATTCTCTTCCGAGGTAAGTTCCATCCTCACACGCGTCGCCGCACTCTAAATTTCTCCTCCCGGGCTGTTCGCGCAAACCTACAGGCAAAATACCTGAGCCCATCTATGCAGCGGATGATGTAAGACAGCGGGCAGGTAGACTTTGAGCGGCTGACACACTTCCCGCAAAACTCCCCAGAAACTCACGACACAGACGTCTGTGTCAACTCACACAGACTGGCCAATTCCCGGACTTTCTGACCCTCACTTTGAGCTTGACTCTCGGTAAGTGCCGGCAGATCCATCCTCCACATCGCCGGCACACTGTCATGTCCATAACTACGACAACACTACCGTCACCACCCATGTTCCCCGCATCCACCTAATGCCAAACCCGATCCGAATGACGCTGAGCATGGAGAAGTATCAGCGCGATGGAAAGATGAGCGTGTGACGCCAAAGGAGAAGGAGGGATAACAGAAGGGGAGAAAAGTGTTGGATGTCTTTCTTGTCCGTCCGTGCGGCGAGCCGTTACATTCCTAGCACAACACGCCTCTTGGAGGCGACTCCGAGTATTCAAGCTTCAAGTCTAATGGTTTTATTCGTTTTATTCTATGTATACGCTACTGACGTCCGCTTGTTCCCAGACCAAGTTCTTCCCCTCCCTATGACGCTTAGTTGGGCTGTCCTGCTCCAAAGCGGAGTTGTGCGGTGTCACCCTCCCTTCCTTCACCTCCATTTCCAGTGCGCAACATGTCGTACCGCCATTGATGCCCACTGTTTCTGCTTCGCCTACGCCAAACACCATCGACACCAATGCTGTTGATAACCCATGCGTCCGCCCACATGTACATGACGCCAACCTTCCGGGTGCCGTACAGATCCTCCAGATGGTCTCCCTTTAGGTTTGTCTCATACTTTGGTGCCTACGCAATACCTACCAGGTTGAAACATGACGGATGGCCAGATGAGTACTTGTAGTGCCGTTCGTTAACTTAGTCTTAGACTGCCTAATATAATAATTCTCATTCACCAAAAAGTTCATCGATAGACTGACTGATATGTGCTTCATGAGCCAACGCGTTTATCAGTTGATAGCAGGGCATATCTTTTGAGAAGATTCGCCGTACACGGTGAACGTCGTCGATTGCTGCTCAGTACGAGCATATATTCAAGTCAACAATTTAAACAGCACGCAATATACACACTTCTACTCGTCATCAACTCTACTTGTCCGTGAACACGGGCACCCCCTTGCCAAGCCTTACCATAAGATTGATCTCCCCTCAACGACCAGCAATATCTGCAACATCTTCACTGCTTGCCTCACGCACAGTATCCCGGACCTGGCTCAAAATCTGGCCCACGACCCATCGGTTGCTAGCCACCTGGATCGTCCGCGACCACCCATTATTCCGTCCATGGCAGGTGGTGGCTACGTAGATAGTTCAGGTCTTTCTCCATACTAGCTTCCATCCCAGGATGCAGAGGACAAGCCAGTGAGGGAGCCAGTGGAAGAATGCGGAAAGACGCGCGTTGGTCCCAAGTGACATATAAGTTGGAGGGTTGGGACTCAGCACCTTCGCAACCACACGTCGTGCAAATTCATCGGTAGGCATGCTGCCTTGGTACACAAGCGTTCGTACACTCGATCGAGGTAAGGCTTGTAGATGGACGTGGGAGATAATTCAAGTGTGGCTGCTTGGTTAATACTAATATTTGACTGAATGCACCCTGGTGCTACTAGAATCACTTTAACATCGAAAGGCTTACATTCCATGGCCAGAGCATCGTTGAGCGCATGAAGTGCCGCCTTAGCTGCGCAGTATAATCCATGCCATGGAATAGGGCTATAAGACGGCGTCAGCTGAAAGATGCCATCATTGCACCGTGCTCACATATTTCCTGCAATTGATCCAATATTAACGATAAGCCCTTGCTTGCGTTCCACCATGGAGGGTGCGACTGCCTGCGCAACTCGCAAGATCGAGAATGTGTCGATCTCAAACGCTTTTCTAGCCTGACCTAAGGATACATCAAGCAACGGTCCTGAGGGAAAACGAACATGATAACCGTTTCACTGTGGCTTGAAAGATTTGAACGACCCGATGGCCAAAACACCAGCATTATTCACAACGATGTCGATTTTTCCCTGCGCTTCTAGGATGGACTGTACGACGAGTTTCACATCGTCATCGCTGGTCACATCCATGACACGTTTTTCCACTGAATGTTTGAAGCCGTCCATCGTCTCCAGCCTACGAGATCCCCGCTCCGCAAAACGTTCGCATCTGTCACGGTTATCATAAGTTTGGATCTGAAGTAGGAAGAGTTTAAGACAACGGGCTTACAAATGGAAACCAATCCCACCTTTTGAACAGCCAGTTACTAGAACGACTTCTCGCGACATGAGTGTTGGGTGAAGCAGGATGATACCCTACCACGGCATAACCTGTAGGTGTAAGTAAGTGTATCTCACATGCAATGAGAAGTCCGTTCCGACGTATCATACACATATATATATCCATTTTATCTCAGAAGCTTTGGAATGTGAAAAACAGGTGAATTAGAATGAATTTCATCTCACAAATTCAATATTCATGAGCTCCAGCTATTCGAATCGGTGTTCACTACTTTGGTCATCGTTCTTAGTCAGCTTCTACTCCTTGTGCTCGTACCATGAACATATTGATCTAACGGAGTCAGATCTAAATTTAAACTATTCGTACAGTACTTTCGAGTCGTGTTCAAACACTAACGTTGTCTTCAGGATTGTTAAAATCTTGTTTGCGCAGTATTTGAATGCGCTCGTCTTGATCCATATCTCGATGATGGGTAAGTACTTTTCTCTCGGATATCTCGTCTAATGCTAAACCACGCTAGACTACTCATCGTTTGTGATTGACGATTTTGATATCAATGATTACGCCAACGCCATTCTTGCTGGCGAGCCGTATCCACAGCACCAAACGCAATTCGCAAAGCCCCGAACGGGGGCGGCCTCCAAGGACGATATATCGGTCACAATATCCAAGCTGGACTCGAGCATCGAGAATGTTGGAAAGCAAATAAAAAGCCTGGTATGTAATTATATTATTACACTGAGATGCTGTTGATCACATATTGATTTCAGGTTACTACTCACCATGAAGAGTTGCTTCACCGAGCGGTGGAGATCAATAACCTCTCAGGATCGCTGACTTCGGTTCGACGTGGCTTGGACGACGTCGATGCTTCCTTGGAGAAGTACGTAGCCATGTTCTGTCGTTATGTCGCAACTTACGCCACCGAATCAGACTTCGCGAGAAAATTCGTGTTCCATACCGAACCTTGGAAACGAGCGCCATTAGGCTTCAACGCACCCGTCAAGCCTCAGATGCGTTGCGACGTATTTCACGTTTCATCGTGCTTTCACGACGTCTGGATACTCAAATGACCGAGTTCGCTGCATTCGACAAGCCGAGCACCGCTGAAAGGAAACTCGACAATTCAAGCCGCCTATTCGCAGATCAGCAAGACGACAAGGAGCGCATTATTGCCAAAGCGGCGTTGACAATAGCAGAGCTAGGTTCGCTTATTTATTACCTCGCAGGTAGTGTTTAACTTTTGTCAAGGCGCCTTGTTGGATGGACCTGAAGATACTGGGGATACCCTCAAGAATTGCTTGCCAGAAACTGGCCATAGGACTACCCCAACAATGGATGCACTGGTCCCCCTTCGATCTGTGAAGGCGACAGTAGCTCACGTACCATTTATCGAAGAAGCGCGATGCAAGGTCACGCGTGAGATGGAATCCATGATCATAACCGGTCTCTCCAGTTTGGTTTGTCATTCCATGTTCTGGCGTGAATTATTAACATGAATTTTAATTTTAAGGACCAATCACTATTGGCATCCTCGTTACAGACAGCGCACAACTTATGCGTACTCCCAACGCTCGTACAAGCTTTGTCAAAAGATCTTTGTGACGCCGTCGAGGAACGGATACGAAGTACATTTGATCTCTCATGTATTTCAAAGGAAATTGTTTCGAAGGGTAGGTCGTACTGAGACTATCCTTCCTTGACTGATGTTCTTGTTCTCAAGAAAATATACCTTCGTCTCAAGGCCTTTCATATAAGTCGCGTGTACGAACAGAACCAACAAACATCACGGCACCACAATGGACAGGTGCGCTTTGGGCCCGCCTCGAGTCTCTCGTCGAGGAGATGGCGGCTTGCTGCATCAAGGTAGCAACCTGAACGCTATTCTACATTATGTCGACGACTTACTACTTAGTCTTAGGTGTATACGCTTGAGAAGGCCCTCAAATTGAAGAAGGATCCGGTCACCCAAAGATCGTTCATTGCCGATGTAATGAAGGTACGGTTTTTTGTACATCCAATCATCAAAACTATGACTGACTGACTACCTGAAGGTCCTAGAGAACAAACCTACTTCTACATTCTGGACTTCGGTAGGACGCTCTCTCGAGAAGTATGTTCGTGATGCTGCCAAAGGTTCGTTTTCATTTGTGCCATATACATCACCACTAATGTATCATGACTAGGATCAATTTTCCTTCAACAGACTCTCAGCGCTGGTTACCCCAAACTCTTACGTATCTTCCACAAATTGTTTGCTAAAATTGCAGTGCATACTGACACAGTCTATACCCAATCTCAGCAATCGTATGTCTTCCCCTTCTCGTGAAATGTAGCCTCATACATGATTTTTAGACCAGAAACTATTCTCGTCCTCCGCGCTCTCTCTACATTCGAGGATCTCTACCTCTCTCGTTCAGCAACCCGTTTGAATGAATCCGTATCCCAGGCTTTTGCTGGTGGTTCTCGCGCACCTCCAGGCTCTAACGAAGGAGTCACAATTGCGCGGGTGGTGATGAATGAGCTTGATTCTGCTAGGTTCGATCCTTTGTTAATACTTGCGGTGGCGAGAAACGTCAGCGCAGCTCTCGATGGTGTGGTGATGAGGGCCGAGGGCCTGGTGAGTCTTTTTCGGCTTTGAATAGGTACCACATAACTCATATGTTGAAACTAGATCTCTTCAGATCGCTTAGCGGTCACACTTCTTGGGCCGATGGCGACTCCACAACAAGTCTTGAATGGTCAGGTTGCGACGTGCCTTTATTATTGCTGGACGAATTTGGAGAAGGTAGCTGAAGAACATACCGAGAGCGCTGCCACGCTTGTAAAAGCTGGTGTAAAGGTATTTATTCCCAAGAATACCAAGTCTTGAAGTCATCCCGCTGCACAGAAACTGCACCTCACGTACGACAGTATTATTGACCCGCTCCTGACAGCGATCCGAAGGGAGCTCGCTTCCATCATCTCGAGGCTTCATAGGGTTGACCTGCAGAAGGCCACGAACCCGATGGCAGGCATGGCAGGGCCAAGCATGTACATGAAAGACCTCGCTGATAAACTCAACTACGTCAAGACTCAGATCTTTACTAATTTTACAAGTGATATGACCCAGCCCTGGTATGCTCTTCAGTCATCTGCTGTTGGCCTGTCGCGCTAAGTGAAACACCCAGGGTGCTCTCTATCGTAAGATATGTCATCCGAAACTTTGTGCTCCACGCCAGTATCGCGAAACCGTTGGGGGAAAGCGGGAAGCTGCAGCTCACAACAGATATGACGGAGCTCGAATTTGCGTTGGGCGCGTTCCTTGGGCCCTCAAGCAAGCGTGGTCTTGAAGCGGTGGGGGAGGAGTACAAAATGCTTAGAGCCATGCGGTTCGTTCTATTCCTAACACTACCTGATGCGCGCTCACTCACTTATCATAGACCCCTCCTTTTCATTGACACAACTTCACTTGCAGGTCCAGCACACACTGTGAACCTGCCTCCACTCGCAGTGCTGCACCATATTCTGGTACGGTCCCCACTGCCGATGCCGCATATAACCCATGGATGGCAGGAAGCGGAGTATGTGCGATGGACGGAAGAACATAGACAAGAGGATGCATGGGGACTGGTTGAGGCTGCGCTGGTTGGGAAGGAGGGAGAGTTTGTAGAGCTTGCAAGGAAGGTACTGAGGCAAGCGAGGGGTGAGTGAGGCTCGGGACAGGGTGCTCAGCGCTCAGCGCTTGCTCCCGTTTATTCCAGCTATTTCTAAATCGATACCCACCCATCATCTTTGTTTAGTTTTGGAGCGAAGCAAACAACCGCCTCCCCGCCTACCTCGATTGCGATGTCACATATTTCTAAATTCGAGCATGTTGTGCTACAAAATCCACTCTGCGTCATTTGTAAGGGCTTGCTGATTCGATATGATGACTAGCAGGTAGGTGAGCTAGTCCAGTCCACTTGCTTGCAATGGTGACACTAAGCACTACCTGAGCTCGCTCACCAGCCCAGTGATTGCAGCATGCTCCACTTTCCAACCACTGAGCAACCTTGATCAAGTTCAACTTTGTCTCCAACACTGGCGAACAATGCCACAGTATGACGATGTCAATATATTTCAGCTGTACTATCGAGGATACATCGCAGAAGACTCGATACCCGGTGATGCTAAAAGTGTGCCCGTTTCAAAATCAGGGACTACTCGGAGACAAAGAGCTTTTGTGATTCACCAAGCTATTGCACTTCATACATGAGTCTTATAGGCTTGTGACGATCATGATGGTCCCGTAGTGTCGCGTTCTTCATTCACGCGTGCCTTGGCTCGAGACTGGACAGTATCTGACAGTATTCATTGCAAGATTCTCGCTAAGCAGGGCTGTGATTGTAAGCTTGTTGATTGGTCACGCCGGTCTGTTGTGATGTCATTTGTCTGGACTCGTATATGGGAAGCCGTTGCTATACTTACCTTATCTCTGACCGTCACGTCGAATCTAACTCTCATCCACTTTCCGTCAACTGTCTGAGTTCCTAGTGTTCTACCCTCTGGGTAGCTTCCACGCATCTCTTATTCCTTCTTCATCTATGTGTTAAAACAGAAGGCGAGAGTCATTACGCTGCAGAGCCATTATGCGATCAGCTGTCTGAGCTCAGACACGCTACTTCTACTTTCTATTTCACTTGCTTTCCACTCATTCGGTCCAGATGACTGATAATTCCGTGGTTCTGAATGAACGTGTTTCAATGAGACCATGGCATCACCAGTCATCTGGCCTAGTACAACCGCTCTCCTTTCTGCATATATTTCCTGAGACAGATGATCCCAAAGTATTTCGCAGGCTCGCAGACATCCTGGTCCATCAGCTGTCTGGGCTTAGACTCACATAGGCTAGCAGATGAGCACATTGGTACATTGTGTTTTTGATCATCCATCATCTGCTGGCCCTAAGGTCAGTGTCAATAAATGTATGTATGTATCTCGTTCGGTGCTTTACTCGTGCTTAGCAGGATGGGCTTCAACAGATCTTGCAAAAACGCAAATTCGACGCATGACTTGCAGTTGCATGCGCACCACGCTTCGATGGTGCAACTGAGTGCGGTCGATGCCTCATTGATAGTTTGAAAGATGTACTCGAGGCTTTCATCTTACCATGCTTTTTAGCTTGCTACTTGGTGCAAGTCTGTATCACAGATCTTAAGTAGCGATACAACAAGAAATGGGTTTGTCTCATCTAAACTATACTTTGAAACACCGTAACTAAAATAAATACGACGGATCCTCGACCAAATATCTCCTCCATGCGGAACACTAGGCAACCATTTCCTACACAGTACTGCTAGTTGATACATGTACGCGCTCCTGGAAGACGATCAAATTCATGCTAGTTTCTGCGTCGGATTCGGCCACAAGTTTGGCGTGATATTGTCGAACGCTAAGGATGAGGCGTGGTCCCAGCACAAACATCTGCACGGACGATAAAATTTGAATAATACCATTGAGTATCTCAGCTGCTACAGAAATCGAATTCTACAGAAATGATGAGCAGTGGTTACATGTAGATGTCAGTGACATGTTGGCGCACCTCGAGCTCCGGGGAGAGAACAACAAGCTGGAGGCAAGAGACACCGGCAAAGCTAGCACATGCAGAACTTGAGCAGAGAAACATAAGCACATTCGCATTATAAGCTCACCTTGCAAAATAAAGCACGTGAGATTCCATCAGCACTCCGAAACAATCCCCGATGGTCGATCCCGTCCATGGGCCGAGTCGTCGCATGTCACGGAAGTGCTTCACAGCGATCCAGACTGAAAGACACAGTGCGAAGACTTCCCAAGCAGTGTTGAGCATCCAGACCATTGAGATCAAAAGCTGGGTATCCCCCTCAAATCCGCCACCGCCGCATATATGAATACCAGAGAGTATCAGTTCCTCTGGTATTTGTCCAATGAGCCGTGTTCTTCAATTCAACAAGTAAAGCTTACCCGATACTACATCATACTTGAGTCCTATGATCGTGATTACTCCGCAGGAAATGTTTACGGCCAGGAAAATAATAACAAGGAAGATAAGCATCCTCCTAGATCTCTGATACATGGCATGTAACCTAGCAATCATGATGACTTGGATCATATTTCAGTCGAATCAATATCACTAAGGTATCGCAGCTGGGTAACTCACCACCCAACATGGCAGTTACGACCACATTTGTCCCATTTAATGCATATATTATGATATGGCCTGAAACAACCGATTAGCGGTCGCCCTCGTACTAGGATCAAATGCTCCGACTCACACCTATTGAGTCATTATGTCGAGCTAAGTCCAATGGTCAAATCACACTCACCCCTACAAATGAATGTATTCGTTAGATAGGAATGAAATGATTGCGGAATCCTCACTGCATCTGTCAACGAGACCAACGTGGTGGCTTCTGTGTGCCGCCGGTCAGAAAAATCGAACACTGTGCATATGAGACATACGCAGAATGCTAGCACTGATAATGAGAGATGGGCCATCAGTACAGCAACTACTTTTTGGCCTCGATTAACATACAGAGAATATGGTATTCCAACATAGCGTATCTAGAACATTTTGGAGTCAGCACAACCACCAACCATGCTATAGTATAACAAGAGGTACGAACAACCAGGTACAGCACAGTCATGAGAGACCAGCGCTGCGTCTGTCACGAATTCATTGTTTTTCTTATGATATGGGACTCTGTTGCTCACCCAGATCAGTTCAATCTATGACACCATTGTTAGCAAGTTGTCACTGGGTGCTCCAGCGGCAATAGTATCAACCTACCTCTTGTGCGAGTGTTAATACTGGAAATATCATGAGAATATCAGCAGTTTCAGAACACTGTGCTGCTCACCCCAATCGTATACCACCACGAAGCCTGCGGCAACTGCGAAGCCACAAGTTAATATAAGATCAAGACATAATCAAATACTATGGCGAACCAATCCAATAGCTGTAAAAAATACTTGAATTGATGATCGGCCACCAACTGGGATCATTTGAGATTACGGTCATATTCGAGGATGGGGAATGTTAGGAGTGTATAATGATTTAGTGTTCATATACCAGCGTTCAGCGCTTGTATCACCAAAATCGGCATGACGGTGATTCAGACATTTGTCTATGCATGCTCAAGGGAGGCCCTTGCAAAATATTGGCACTACCCGAATTGGAAATCAGCTTCTTATTCCGAGTCACGCGTTTTCGGGATATTCTTGCTGCAAGCTTGGAGTACATCGATCTGACACAGGTTCAAGGCGATTTGCATGTGCACTCTTCCCCCGATTACTCTTATGGAACAAGAATTGCGGCATGATTCCAGTTCACCTACTCCAGGGTCCACATGTACAAGCTAATTAATTTGCCTTCCTCCACGCGGGTACACGCATCTAGAACGTTTTCTAACTGGTACCCGGTCTTAATATCAAGATTACAATAACACTCATACAAATCAATACAATCCTCTCTTTGCATCGACCCAGCCTCCATCAAATTCAAATCCACATGACTCTGTAAGCATCATACGTTCCGTTAGCTGGCATAGCCCGGCCCCCAACTCAATTTCCGATATCATAGTCCATCATAAGATCCGATTTATTTTTACAATACGGTCGATAGCAACACCGCGGCCCGCCTTGAAAATTTCTACTTATGCATCTGCACAATCAAACCCGAGTCCATTCTCTGCTGTAATTAATCCTTGCGCAAAATGAGTCTACATGGGATAATGACGGTCCCATAGTGTCGTCTTTTGTTCTGCCACTGCCCCACTTTGCATTCATCATTCACACGTGTCTCGAGACTGGATCTAGACCATCAACGCACTGGCAAGATCAACCATCTTCTTTGAATGATCGCACACGTGTTTTGTCCTCAGACAACTGGTGCATTAGTGATACTTTGTTGGGTGTGCTTGACTCCCCGCTCAGCACATCACATCTCCTTGCCATGCGTATCCGTGATAGGGTTACATACTCGAGCCGTAAGCCTTCTTAAACCATCATACTCTATATCGTTAAATCGTGCTTGAAACCAGACCCCGATCAGTTAGCTAGTGGTCTCCAGGACATCGATACCCTGCTTCCACCATTCATGCACGAATTGGCACACTCTGCGGCCCAGATGGATGATGAAGGTGGCCAGGCGTAGTCGCTGATTTAACACAGTATCAGCCATCTAAGGTTTCACGACTCGCTACCATTTCTTCTTTTGTTTTGCTCAGGTAGTGACATGATAGAGCCAGTGTGATATGGTCAAAGTACGTATATCAGGACATTGTGGTCAGCGCCTTACTGATACTTTTCCCAGGTGCGCTTGATGCCTTCCGACTCTAAGCCCTGGTTCTCTTCTCTACTCCCCTCCTCATCCCCTTGTCTCGCGCATTCATCCATATCGGAGGCATATACTCACCTCGTAAGTCTATTTTAAAATGTCATGCTCGATATCGTCGAATCATGCTTGAACAGACATCGATCAGCGATACTGTGCCACTAGCACCCGAAACGAGAATAGCCCTACATATCCGATGATCTGGTGTGACGCCCAACCATGATAATTCTTGCTGAGGACACTGACAGCCGACTTTCACCCTTCACCCACGATTCATCACTACTTCCCTGCTGCCCAGATGGATGATATGGGGGTAGTCCATTCTACTCTGATCTACGACCCTCAGTCTTTCAGCAGAAAGGGCTCGGTGCAGAGTTTGACTTTGTCTGTCATCTAGCCATAATCGAACACTCAAGCGTCATATTCAAACCTTTCCTCCACAAAAGAAAACTCTTCACCGTTGACATACCCCGTGTCCCTATCGATACATAAAATCATCGATCATGGTCGCTCTCATTCTCATGATCATCGTGCGTTGATACGTTTTGCATATTACCGGTCACTCACAGGTCGTCTTCTTTTGTTACAACGACCTACGTGGTGACATTATCTACCCTCTAATGTTCCTACAAGATATCTTCGAATACATCCCCATCACCCTGTTGAACTTCATTGCCATGCTCATCAGGAAAACGTAATTCACTACAGGGTGTTACAGAGTGCTACAGAGCGCTCTGTAGCGTTCTGTAGCACAATCCAACCCGCTGATGCTTTTCAGCTCGCCACTTGGTGCAAGTGTGGGCGGGCGGTTCACTGACTTCCAGTAGTGATACAACAAGAGATGTCTACATAAACACATAAACCCCGTCTTAAATATACTTTGAATCACCATAATTAAAATAAATACTACGAGGGATCCTCGACTAGATATCTCCTTCATGCAGAACACTCGGTAATCACTTCCTACACAGTACTGCTAGTTGATACATGTACACGCTCCTGGAAGATGATCGAATTCATGATAGTTTCTGCGTCAGATTTGGCCACGAGTTTAGCGTGATATTGTCGAACGCTAAGGATGAGGCGTGGTCCCAGCACAAACATCTGCACGGACAATATGATTTCCATAGCACCATGCAGTATCTCAACTGTTACAGAATTCGAATTCTACAGAAATGATGAGCAGTTGTTACAGGCAGATGTCAGCGACAAGTCAGCGCACCTCGAGCTCTGGAGAGAGAATACCAAATTGGAAGCAAGAGACACCGGCAAAGCTAGCACATGCAGAACTTGAGCAGAACACGATAAGCACATTCGCATTACAAGCTCACCTTGCAAAATAAAGCACGTGAGATTTCATCAGCACTCTGAAACAATCCCCGATGGTCGATCCCGTCAATGGGCCGAGTCGTCGCATGTCACGGAAGTGCTTAGCAGCGATCCAGACCGAAAGACACAGTGCGAAGACCTCCCAAACAGTGTTGAGCATCCAGACCATTGATATCAGAAGCTGAGTATCCCCATTAGATCCGCCACCGCACATATGAATGCCAGAGATTATTGACTCCTCTGGTGTTTGTTCAATGAGTTGTGTTCTTCGATTCAGCAAGTAAAACTTACCCGCTACATAATACTTGAGCCCTATTATCGCGATTACCCTACAGGCGATGTTTACAGTCAGGAAAACAATGACAAGGAGGATAAGCATCTTCCTAGATCTCTGGTACATGGCATGCAACCGAGCAATCATGATGACTTGCATCGTGTTTCAGTCGAGTCAACATCACTGAGGTATTGCAGCTGGGTAACTCACCGCCCAACATGGCGGTTACGACCATATTTGTCACATTTATTGTGATGTACATGATATTGCCTGAAACACCCGATTAATGATTATCCTCGTACTAGGATTAAACGCTCCGACTTACACCTTATTGAGTCATTATGTTGAACTAAGTTCGAAGTTGAGAATTTTACTCACCCCTACAAATGATTGCATCCATTGGATGGAAATGAAATGGTTGCGGAATACTCACTGCATCTGTCAGCGAGACAATTGTCGTATTTCCTGTGTGCCGCCGATCAGAAGAATGGAACACGGTGCATATGAGACATACCCAGAACATTGACACTAACGATGAGAGACGGGCTATTAGTACAGCACCAGCTTGTTACCCTCGAGCGATAACATACACAGAATATGGTATTCCAACATAGCGTATCTAGATCATTTTGCAGTCAGCACGGCTGCCAATCATGCTATAGTATAACATGAGGTACGAACAACCAGGTACAGCACAGTCATGAGAGACCAGCGTTGCATCTGTCACGAATTCATTGTTTTTCTTCTGATATGGGACTCTGTTGCTCACCCAGATCAGTTCAATCTATGACACCATTGTTGGCAAGTTGGCTGCTCCGGCAATACCATCACATACCTCTTCTCCGAGTGTTAGTACTGGAAATAACATGAGAATATCAGCGGTTTTCCGACACTGTCCTACTCACCCCAATCGTATACCACCACGAGGCCTGCGGCAACTGCAAAGCCACAAGTTGATGTTAGATCAAGACATCACCAAACGATATGGCGAACCCATCCAATAGCTGAGAAAAATATGCGAACTGATGCTCGGCCACCAACTGGGATCATTTGAGACTACAGTCATATTTGAGAGTTGAATGTGAACGAATGGAGGATGTTGGATTATAACGATTATGACAGTGTTCGTGCTAGATATACTACCGTTCAGCGCTTCAAGTTCAAGGCTGTATCATCAAAATCGGCACGATGACGATGGTCATTTGTTCTTACCTGAGGCCCTTGATACAACAAGTTCACATTCTACCTGTGACACCCATGTAGCCCTTATGATTAGAGGTTGGTGTACCAGGTTGCCTGGGCACCTCCACTAGCAGCAGACAGCTGGTTCGAGTAAGGACGCTTAACAGCTTACTTGGCCGATGCCGTTGTATTAATTTATGCTGTTCAACAGACCTATGAGTGATTTGCAAGAATGAATGAATCCTCGATGACTGACCATTATATATAGACTACATAGGACACACACCCGAGGCAGTCGGGGATTTGGTCCGCACGCACGGCTACGATATAGGTATCGGAGTCGGTCAGAGAACCACCAACAGCGCGGCAGTTCACACTGGGAATGTACTTTTAACACATTTGCCACTGTCGATCCATGCAACCATGGAGTTGTTCTAGGGACGTGTAACGTGAAAAGTAACCCTATCACATCGCTATGCGCCGATCCAGCCAATTCGAAAACAATTGTATGGAAATATACAATGATTTTCTTTGAGGAAAGTTACAACATCGTACGGTACGAAATAAGACTTTAGGCCTGACGTTCACACGCGCACGTCCCCTTTCCGCAGGTCATGATGGCAGTGTAAAGTCTGTACTACCACCTGTTGACTGCGGGGTCAGTCACTACTACCAGCCGAATGACAGTGCATGAGGCTGACATGAGTTATATAAATGCGAATGATGGCAGTTCTTTGTATACGTATTACCTGCTTCCCACCAGTCGATGTCGAGAATGCGGACGTCGGACAAGGAAGCAGAGCCTGAGATTGATCATTTACCTCCTGCTTATGACACATTGTCAATTCACGGGGGTGTTCCATCGATACCTGCCATCGCCATCGCTCTCGCTCACCACGATGAGGCAACTCCTATTGGCAGCATTAGTACTGTTGTAACGGATGTGCAAGAATTTGAGCCTCCTTCTCGGAGTCTGGCACACACGTTGCCCAGGAGCAGGAGCAACATTGACTTTGCAACCCAAGTTACAAAACTTCCAAACGATGTGGTGATCCCAACAGTGGATGTGAACAAATCGTTCCCAGAGCTCCCGCAATTCAATTCTCGTAAAACCGTTGCCGCAGAGTTTGCGTCCTCCTCCACCAAAAACGCACTAAGCACACTCAGGCGCGTAAAGCAAAATCTGGCTCTAGCTCATGGCTTTCTTTCCTCCCATTTATATCCTCCAAAGCTACGAAACGCGACCGTCAGTCCGTGCTTGCGCTTATTCACGACCTTGTCGTTCCTCCGCCAAGCAACTCTGGTAACCTGAGTCCCAAATCTCCGCAATCGGCCCTAGCAGATCCACATGAAATACTAGCTTCTTGCTCCAAAATATGCTCCACGAAGAACCTGTCACTATCTACGCTTCTTCAAGAGCCACATATAGCAGGTCACACTGCCATCTATTGGGCCATCGTCAACTATAACCCCTCCCTCCTTGATGCTCTGCTCAAATATGCCTCTCCTTTAACCCCTACGACACTCAGTGAAACGAGGAAGGCATGTTTGGTGGTGAGTAATCAGCCATTATTCCAGAACCTCAGACACAGTGTCGGGCTGTGCGCAAGTGGACTACGGAGTGGTGAGTCTGAGTTGAGAAGCTGGATTAGGGCTGATGTTTTGAGTTGCCAGCTACTGATGGACTGCTTCTTGGTCAACGCCCACCAGATGACGTGCGTATTGAAGAGGGCCCCAATGGTACTTTTGCTGCAACACTGGATATTGCAATGTGGCAGAAACGTATACGCGCAGTCGGGAGCGTGAGCGTGGAATTCATTGCCTCTGGTGAGTATCCTGCTTTCATTCTTCCTCTTTTACAAATGAGAAAAACCAACTAATGCTATTTTCCTTTCAGGCCATATATTCGCATTAACCTTCTTTACCGCCGATCGTCCGCAACCCAAGTCCAAGTCCACCAAAGACAAAAGAGCGGTAGGGCCCTTGCACGTCTCACTCTCCCTCCTCGAGCACAGCCTACCGACCTACGTGGATGCAGCAGTAGTCATCGATGGACCTCCTCCCCTTCCTCCATGGCCTTGTCTTCGTCCACCAAGAAACTCCTCACCAAGAAAGCACATTCACAGTGCTAGTTTCTCAGGCAAAGAGACAGGCTATGGCTTTGAGAACGGAGTGGGACTTTGGGGTTGTGAAGCGAACTCCAACTATGATGAACAAGCGCGCACGCGCTTACCTTCTCCTTCCTCGCTCAGCTCTCCTGGCTATTCTCGTCCTGCAACGTTCTCAGGTGCAAATGCACAAGAAAAGATGCTGCTTCCGCCTCCCTCGCACTCCCACCGTGGGCTAATCCAGACTCATTCGTCTCCTTCGCTCAAGCAACTGTCCTCGTCCCCGTCTCGTTCCTCGCATATGTTAACATCTGTATTGGACAGTAAGGTCACAGCTCTCACGCCCAAGAAGCAGCTCTTGAAGCTGAAGAATGCTTCGTTGGGATCCAGTGGGCATACTCCGGTGGTGCTCCGTTTTAGTGTAGGCAAGTCTCTGCTTGCTTATCGTATGAAGAATGGAGGTGAGGTTCTTTCAGCTGTTTTAATCACGATGCGAGAGGCTTGTTTGTTGAATTACTTTTGATGAGCTTGGGCTATCCATTCATCATACATAGAACGACCTGACTAGTGACGTCTCTCCTAGCCGATCCACACGGCTTACCTCACCCTACTACCATCAAACCTGATACCTGGTCCGAACATGGGACGCGGTATGTCTCTGCGATCGTAATGCCACTCGGAGAACAAGATGGAGCGGGGTTGATGTTTGAGTGGGTTTTCCTACATGCCCTCCCCCAATATACAACGACGAATCGGGGGATTGAAATAATAGACGCTAACGTCCATTCACAGCACATCCCCGCATATTGCGTCTGATGGTAGTTTACGAGCACGGCTAGAGGCGAGGTTGGTGAAAACTGAGGAAGGAGGGAAAGAGTGTATTATTTGCTAGTTTGATGCAGGGTGATCAACTTTTTTGGTGTGGTGTTGGTCCAGGCTCGTCATCTGACTTGGAGATCTCTGCCCAAACGGACTTCTCATTACGTGTACTAAAATAGACTCTATGTGACTTACTACTTACACCTATAAGTTATGCTACCGTCCTGCCTCACCTAACACTCATGTCACGAAAAGTCGTTCTAGTAACTGGCTGTTCAAAAGGCGGAATTGGCTTCCATCTGTAAGTCCACCGTCTTAGACTCTTCAATGACCTCACTACTTCGACTTTATCATACAATAACAGATGTGAGCATTTCGCGGAGCAGGAATGCACTGTGTATGCCACATCTCGTAGGCTGGAGACGATGGACGGCTTCAAACATTCAGTGGAAAAGCGTGCCATGGATGTGACCAGCGACGAAGACGTAAAACTCGTCGTACAGTCCATTCTAGAGGAGCAAGGAAAAATCGACATCGTTGTGAATAATGCTGGTGCTCTGGCCATCGGTTCGTTCAAACCTTTCAAGCCATAGTGAAACAGTTGTCATGTTCGTTTTCCCTCAGGACCGTTGCTTGACGTATCTTTAGATCAGGCTAGACAAGCTTTCGAGACCAACACGTTCTCGATCTTGCGGGTTGCACAGGCAGTCGCACCCTCTATGGTGGAACGCAAGCAAGGACTTATCGTCAATATCGGATCAATTGCAGGAAATATGTGAGCACGGTGCAGTGATGGCATCTTTCAACTGACCCCGTCTCATTAGCTCTACTCCATGGAACGGAATATACTGCGCAGCAAAGGCGGCGGTTCACGCGCTCAGCGATACTCTGGCCATGGAATGCAAGCCGTTCGGCGTTAAAGTGATTCTAGTGGCACCAGGCAGCGTCAAGTCAAACATTAGTACCAACCAAGCAGCCACACTTGAATTATCCCCCACGTCTATCTACAAGCCTTACTTCGATCGGGTGTACGAACGCTTGCATATCAGTCAAGCCAAAGGGTGCATGCCTACCGATGAATTTGCACGACGTGTGGTTGCGAGGGTGCTGAGTCCCAACCCTCCAACATATATATCACTTGGGACCAACTCGCGCCTCTTCGCATTCTTCCACTGGCTCCCTCATTGGCTTGTCCTCTGGATCTTGGGATCGAAGCTGGTGCGGAAGTAGACCTGAGCTATCTACGTAGCTACCACCTAGTACTCTGTCATGCCATGAACGGGATACATATGGGCGGCCGCAGAAAACTGATAAGTAATGAAAAGACGTTCTGAACTAATTGTGTGACAATTGTTACACGAAGAATGCGGCGCAGTCTCAACAATACGAGTGTGCATGTGAGCATGTCGGGCTTTTGTAATACAAGAAAACGAACGGGATATCTTACTGATACCATGGGTATACCCAGTAGAAGCGCAACAAATAAAGAGCCAGAAGCGAATCCAGCGTCTAGTAGTGGATGGCACAACATAAATTTCCCTTCCCAGAGCTCACAGTCCCCCTGCAACTTACATAAAAAACACAGTCACATAAATATATCGCATCAGTGTCAACTACTAGAATTCCGTGGGGTCGTCATATATAGCAACAGATCGTTCACTGCTTGAAAGTCAGAACCAGCCAGTCTTAATTGACCGAGAGCCTGCCCGATGCAAGAAATCCAATCGTCCGTACCAAGAATCATGCCTTCATTTAAGCGATGCCCAGTAAAGGTACTCAGGTGCTCGACGGTCTCCGTCAAGTGTCCGATTTGTCGAGCAACCAGAGAATGCCAAGCTTTTTGGACAAGCTTTTGGCAGGAACTGGCGTCCGGGAGGTCAAGTGGGAGGTCAGATAATTCTTGCATCGCTTGCAGATTTGCAATGATGTAGAGTGCAAGGTGGTCGGATGACAGAGGATCAACACCAGGATAAGGGAAATTATTGGCGAGATCAAGACAGTTGCTATGATATTTTTTGAGTATGTGAGCCCCCCATGCCTCACTTTTGGCACAAGAATACAAGATTTGCAGACAAAGCAGGTGTTGTCGTGGCGACTCGCTCTCGGTGAGAGTGGAGTGAAGAGCGTCAGAGAACTCTTGAAGCCGTTTGGCCGGCATGAAATTGTAAACAAAGATGATTTTCCTGCAGGCATGAGCAGCACGGAGAGCGGCATCTCGAAGGGCGGACGGCTGTTCTAAAGCCAAAGAAGATGCCAAAACTTTGACCATCATTGGGGTCCTGGATGGGGTGAATGTGACCTGAGGTAACTGGCTCAGTGCTATCATAGCGTCAATGACAGCGATGTGATCAGAATCGTGGTGATGCATGATGTAGTCGATGAGCCAACCACAATCAGCGGGTGCTTGAAGCGATAATCGAGATGGCCCCTTCTGCCACGCCAGTCCTGCATCACTGTGGTGGATGGGACCATCACCGGCAACAATAAGGGTGAAGTGTAGTACGGTACGAGCGTCGTTCCAGATTGCGTCCTGGGCATCTTGGTTCTGTCCAGCAGTCCTGACGAAGGTTTTGCATACTTCGAGTCCCCACTCGGCAGCACGACGCTGTTTTGCGATTTGACGGTACTCATCTAATTCGAGGACCACACCTAATGGTCCTAGTAGTCTCAGCACGATTGCAGGACTGTTCACGAGACTCTTGTCTCATTATATGCTCTAGCAAGACGTCAAGTGCAGCGGTGGAGCTATGTATCACGGGTTGTCAGTACATGTATGGAGTTGAAAAGAACTGAATGGACCTTTTGGTAACCTTCGAAATCGCATCCCAACTGGTAGATTGGCCAAGAAGCATTCTTCCGGCCATAAAGCAATTGGCGAGTACATTTTTTGGAGGAAGTGGATTTACGAGAATTCTTGCGATGGCATCCAGGGCTCGCTCATGCCAAAAGGAGGAGTAGCGTAAATCATTGAGGCGATGAAGGAGTGGATGTGACATCCAGCAAAGGAAAGTGTCCGGTATCTTGGGTTGATAAAGGCGTGTTGGGGAATCCCTATCCAGGACCACCTCGAAGATAAGATAGCAAATGAATGATATCTCATGATCGCTGTGATGTACCCATATGATCTTGCGAATGTCCTTTTCGTAGATAGCGACTTGGAGTGGAGAGTCTTCAGAATTTCTCTCTATGTACAGGTGCAAGAATGCCTTTCCGCAAGCGATTGCATGTTCCCGTCTAGGTGGAACAAGTACCAGTTGCTCGAGGTGAGTGTTTTCGAAACAACCGAGAAATGTGTCGAAAAGTTGCAGAAGAAGAGTGGATATCTCAAGCTCAGGTGGCCATTCCACTTCAGGAACAAAGTTTGCCGCAGTCGTAATGATATCGGGGTCACTGGATGATTCGATAATCCACCTGATACATGGAGCATCTGTTTGCTGTGCAATAGAGACGGAAGGCGTGAGTCGTTGCGAGATAGTGTTCAGGGTGTCAACGATCTTGAATGGGACGTAAAGAGCGAAACTTAAACAGGCTTTTCTGAAATTTCGACGACGTTTCTGCAACGAGGGATAGTGATGGAGGACAGACCGACCCAGAGCACGAAGGGTGATTGATCCTGGCGTCTGGAAAGGGCAATCCGCAGCTATGAGTGATGCCAGGATGATCGTTAGATAGAATGTGAAGCCAAGCGATGTGGATGTGATGACGATGGCGGCAATTGTGCGTGACATTATCCACAAGCTAGCAGACAATGCGATCCCAAAAAGAAGGAGAGAGATCTGCAAGAGTGAGGGCAAGAACTGCAAGACAGCATCGAAATGCCAAGTCCGAAGACCATCGAGTTTCATCTGCCTTTGTCGACCCCGATCGTCAATGGTACCACGGCCAGAGCGTTTGAAGTTGCTCAACCATTGCTTTCCTAACACAGCTCCGAGGGCAGCAAGTAGGCTTGCGCAAAGACTAGCATAAGTCAACGACTGGATCCAGATTACTAAGGTACCAGGTCCCTGCCACGGTGCGTAGGGTTGATTAAACGGTGGGACAAACGAGGAGTTGGCAGTTTGGAGTATCATTCCAAGCAACACATTTGTAGTGTAGAATGGATCAGGGCTGAGATTCGACTGCATGTTTATGATAAACGACGTATTGACGGCTGAAAACAAACCAGCCTGTGATTTAAGTTCAGATGAGACGAAGCGAGGACAAAGAAAGGGTTCTGACGAATATAAGAACGATATCCATGTCTGACTGATACTTCTCAAGAAATTCTCCATCATGGTCCGTAGCTTCCCGTGTATAGGTGGCCCAGAAGCGGGATTTGGTGTCTTTCCCGTCACCTTGGGACTGTGATGGATGGGGGGACTGCATAGTCTCTACGGATGACCTCAAGTTCTGAGGAAGCTCCGGAGCCCTGAAATTTTTTTTAGTCGACAAGCAGGAACTGTTGCGGAGGAACATACTCTGTGCCGTCACCATTTGCTTGTGTGCCAGCATCTTGACTCGGCATCTGTCGCGGTGGCAAGTGAGGTTATAGGTTGACCGTCTTGTTCGGAATGTGGAGGATCATGTTCATGTATCGCTCTTATATAAATACTAGATGCGCTTGGCATTGCGTGAACCTGTGCAACAAACTTGAAGCAGGGCAGTTCATACTGACTGGAGAGGTCCTCATATGCATGAGCTGTGTCATGTCATTTCCAACGGGACCTCAATCAAAACGCCCGAATGACACGGCTGCACATTAATAATAGTCAGGATGTTATGCCTTTACTAGTCGATATGCAGCTGGTGCTAGAGAGTCGACGTAAGCTGTGGCGAGCATCGACACGAAAAAGGCATCATGTACCCAAATATTCGAGAGAAGCTGTTACACAGGAACGGCTCGAACGTGCCAGTGGATGACATTGTTAAAATAAAGATGCTGGCAGTGCCACTGATTGGCCACTGTACGTAATGATTCGGAACTGCCCTGTACAATTTGAACTCGCATTGAGATATATACAGTTACATCGGCAAACAACATACATCAACAATTAAGCCGAGGGGAACAGGTACTAAAATACCATTCGCCCACGGGTAGTTCATGTAGTGACCAGTGATACAACATCCTTGACCAGTGATAACACTACGTTGTCCGCGGGACCTTGTTCCAAGTGGTGCAACGTCTGCAGTATACGTGATTTGAACTCGCTT